CCGGAACAGTTTTACCGGTTCAGTGTGAGCAGCTCAACCGGAGGAAGAACCGGAGGAGGAACCGGGGACACGGGCTGGCCGACGCTGGACCAACGGTCCTAACGGCTCTTTTCGGTCGAAGCCGCCTCAGAACCCGCGACCGTTAGCCCGAAAAAAAAAACAAAAAACGGCCGTTTTTTTTTTTTTTTTTAAATCCCCCTACCTCCCCCCTCGAGGCGTTTCAGAGTCTTCCGGCTTCGTTTCGACGGCCATAAAAAAATGTTGACCGGATCCAAAACCACGTTCAAAGTCAGGCAAATGCTCCCGGACATCAAGGTAAGCTCACCCCGCCATTGTTTCCGAGTTAAGGAGCCCGCGAGCGAGTGTACAAAAACCTTTTCAAAAAACTAGTTTGAAGTACAGCTTCTTTTGTAAAAAGACTGGACGTCTGGTTGCCGTTTTACCCCCATTTTTTTTACCCACTTCCCTGGACACGTCCGTGGACGTGTTACCGACTTGTGCTCATCCGTGTGAGGGTCTCATCGGTGTCCAGGTGAGCCCATAAAAAGACTCCTTTCGAGGGGAAATCTCAGCTCTTGGACTTGGTTTGTGGAGGTTGGTGGGAAGGCTAGAAGAAGCTGGTTTCTGGGGGTCTGAATTGGACTGGCTTTGCTTTAAATCTTACACCTGGTATCTTCCAGTGTCTTCATGTGGACTCCAGTTGTTTTGGGGTTTTTTGTCTCTTCTTTACAGACCCAGCTTCCTCCTGCCAGCTTAATTACAGCGAGAGCACGTAAAGTCACTCTCATTGCCTAATTAAAGGGAAAGAAAATGGGTCTTAATCACATCTGGCAGCGGGGGCTTTGCCTCATGAGGGATTGGGTTGTGGCACACGTTCATCAGCCTTTGTCTGAGAGCTGTGAGAGGCCTATGGGATGAATGACTATAAGATCTGGAGCTTAAAGGCCTCCACAGGTCCTGAGGAGCCTTAGCCAGATGTGTGGGACTTCACTGGGAGAAGAACAGACTCAAGGTTTTAGTCTGATGCTTAAAAAGACCCGGGCCGTTCTTCTCTTCTTCGTTTCTGACTCCCAAGTCTTGTTGTTATCTTTGAAAATGTTATGGGCAACATTCCTCTGAGCTTTTTGGCACATTGTTTTTTGTTTCTCTAGTTTTGAGTCCAGTTGTAGCTGATTGTTTTCAGAGGAATGTTCTGTGAATTTATGTAACGCTGATCCATGAGTCATTCTGGCTTTTTTGAGATTTTGTGTCAGCAGCATGTTGTTTATTCCAAAAGCTGATTCCCAAAGAGCTGCTGGCTGGAAACTGGGCAGATCTCAGTCCTGAAAACATCTGAGGAAACTGGATCAGTGGAGGACAGAAGAAGGGCCAGAGCTGGGCCAGAAAAACTCTGTGATCCAGCAGATGAAGAGGACCTGAAAGTCCTTCAGAAAGAGGAGCAGATCCAGCAGAGAGCTGAACAGGAGCTGAGAGCTGCATCTGGACCTCCAGCTGACCAGCTGCTGGTGGCTGAATCAGAAACGCTCTCCATGAAGGAAGGAAGGAAACAGGAGGAAAGGCTGACCTCTGCCAGAGGAACCAGAAGTGGACTGAACACCAGCAGCTCTGATGGAGGGACGGATCCTCACTGCTTTGAGTATTTTAGTACACCAAAAAAGCAAAAACAAAGCTTAAAATGACAGTAAATACGACAAAAAAAGCTAAACCAATGCTAAATTGACCAAATATACACCAAAAAAGCAAAAACAAGACTTAAAATGACCAAAAGTGCATCAGAAAAGCTCAAAAAGACAATAACTAAAGCCCAAAGATGCCAAAATAGAGCCAAAAGTCAGCAGCTAAAAGCTCCCAGAGTTCCCACAGTGGGTCAGAAACTGGATTAAGTGGACTGAACTGAACCCAGCAGCTCTGATGGAGGGATGGATCCTCCAGAGCCGGAGCTCCATGTTATGAAGCAGAGTGGGATCATCTGACAGAGAACGGAGCCAAAGGCAGCAGCAGCTTCCAGAGAAGAGCTTTGGGACGTCTCCAAGAAGCTGGAGAGCTTTTCCTGGAGGCTCAGAGATGGAGGAGGAAGGAGCTCAGAGATGGAGGAGAAAGGAGCTCAGAGATGGAGAAGGAAGGAGCCCAGAGATCGAGGAGGAAGGAGCTCAGAGATGGAGGAAAGATGGAGGAGGAAGGAGCCCAGAGATGGAGAAGGAAGGAGCCCAGAGATGGAGGAGGAAGGAGCTCAGAGATGGAGGAAAGATGGAGGAGGA